TTTAATAAAAAAAATAGGAACATTTTATTGTTATAGATATATAAAAATTACTCGACGTCCTCCAAAGTTATTTCGGCGAAACGTGTTGTTCTGTTGTCAAAAGTGCTTGTTTGCGGTTTGTTTACACCGACGAATCGTCCAATAACATCTGCAAATAGTACAACAAATATTAAAATTAAAAAACTTATTAAAATAAGGATTAAAGATTTATTAAAGTATGAATGAATAAAAATAGTACCGATGAGCATAGGGTCGAAAAAGGTTCCTTTAGCCAACTCAGAAAAGCTCGTGAAATTGTAGAGGAATTTTGAAAACCTGTCTTCGGAAACTCTCACCACCCGAGTGCGGCCATGAAAAGCAATTTTGTACCTTCCTATTTTTGTCTTATATCTACCACCGTTTGGAGCTACAATGAAGTCCTTGATTGCAATAACACTTTCTTCCTTCAGATGACGCCTAAAAAGCTCCATATGGAACTTCTTGATAGAAGCATGAATACGGTACCCCTGAATTAACAAATAAAAAAACAATTATAAAACAATTCAATTATAAGGGAAAAATATTATATTCAATGTGAATATTGAAATTGATTTACCTCAGAATCATGAAGTAATAATTCAAGACCCAAAACTGTAGAGCGATCCTCAAATGTTGTACGCTCGTAGCATCTTACAACACGAACCTTGATGTTCCATTCAGTTTTGTCCATGTTCACATTCTTCAGGATGAAGTATTAATTCAAGACCCAAAACTGTAGAGCGATCCCCAAATGTTGTACGCTCGTAGCATCTTACAACACGAACCTTGATGTTCCATTCAATTTTGTCCATGTTCACATTCTTTAGGAGAGTGAATGCCATGATTTTTTGTTTGTTTGTTTGTTTTTTTTTTTTTTTTTTTTTTTTTTTTTTTTTTTTTTTTTTGTTTGCTTTCGTGTGTGTTTTGTTGTAAATGTACGAACGGAATAGAAGTATTTATTTATTTGTTTATAACGATTCAATACTTGATCCCACTAACTACAATAGTAAAACATGACTTGTTAACTGCCACACACGATAGAAAGTGTTGAGTCCTTAACTGCACGATAGAGTGGAAGTACTTAACTGTTGAACACGATACGTAATCCAATTCAACCACTTACTGTAATCCAATTCATTTATTATTTATTATTTATTGTTTATTGTGTATTGTGTATTAGTATAAAAATGTCGTAGTTACGAATGAACGACGTAGGTGAAACTTAATATCTGAACACGATATATAGTATTATTATTACTATCACTATATTATTATTATTAAATATTTTAGTTTAAATTATTTATCTAATTTTCATAATTTATACTTTATAAATTAAAATAATTATGTGTTCGTATGCTTCTTGCTAAGTTTTATAATTTTTTTATCTTAAATTTTGTGTACAAATATTAAATCTAATAGTAGTGAAATTAGATATAAAATAAATTTAAAACATGTAACACACAAACATTCTTCATAATAAATAAATAAATAACATGTTTGTAGAATAAATAACATATTTGTAGAATATTTTTTATTTCATTTTCTACAACATACAAATTAAACTTATACATACAAATTAAATTTAATTGATCTAATTAAATCTAGTAATAGTGAAAAATGTTGTACTTCTTAACTGCATGATAGAGTCCGAGCATTTTTTAACTGCTAAACACTATAGAGACGGTAATCTAAATTCAACCAACTTGTTCATTTATCGTTTATTATTTATTGTTTATTAGTATTTGTTCATATATTTTAAAATAAAAAACTAATGCGGTTACGTAGGAACGTAAGTGAATCTTATTAATATCACGATATATATTATTAGTATTACTATTACTATATGATTATTATTATCGTTATTATTATCGTTATTCATTATATTATATTATTTATTATTTAATTGTTGAAGTCTGCGATTCAATTCATGTTGTTAATTATCATTTTTATCTATTTACTATATAACTATTACTATTATTTATAAGTCGATAATTAGTAGTTGTTAATTTTTATTTTATGCAGGAACAACAATTCGGTTACATGAATGAACGCCGAAGTGAAGAGTTTTATTTTTTCTTTAAGAATTGTAATTATTAATGTCTCTCTATATAATTATTTTTCATTAGTAATTGTCTATTTATATTGAGGGATCACCAAGATTGAAGAAGATGCTTTCAGCCTATTCTAAATAAATAAAACAATAAGTACCATTTAAGTAAAAGTAGTCTATTTTTAAAACATTAAAACACGTAACTACCATTTAAAATATTAAGTAAAAGTAGTCTATTTTAAAACACGTAACTACCATTTAAGTAAAAGTCAAATAAAGAGAATAATTTTAAAAATTAAAAATTCAAAAGTACAATTACTCACGTGGATCAACATGCAATTTATACACTTTCTCAATATAGAAAGAGTATTGTAGGGCCCACAACTTACTTTCCAAAAATAGAAAGTGAGTTGCATAATTATATAGTAAATAGATAAAGTGAAAATATTTAAAAACTTGAAAATTCAAATGTGCCACTACTACTCACGTGGGATCAAAATTCAAACTTTTTCAATTTAAAAAGAGTATTGTAGGACCCACAACTAACTTTCTAAAAATAGAAAGTGAGTTGTCTAATTATATAGTAGATAGATTAGGACAAGAACCGCCGCAGGGGATTACGAGTGTGCCCTTGCACCGTACATTAGGAGGTAAAAATATAAAAAAAAAAAAAAAAAATCATTTAATTGGCAGAGATCATTGGCAGTTGATGATGATTTGTCCTAAATAGAATATTGTTCTTTGGTTGTGCTCGTTCAGAAGGAAACCCAAGAAAGAGTTAAAAATAAAATGATACGTACGTTTTTAAATTGATAAATTATAATGCTTTTGTAACTAATTTTGCATATAATCTATTTTAAACATATTTATCCTTATATTTTGACTTATTTTTTCTTATGAATATTTATTATGTTACAGTGCATTTCATAAATATCACATGGTAAAGAGAAAAGGTAACCAGAATAAAGAAGCCTATGTAGGTTCATTCATAGGTAAATTCTCGAATGATGTTAAAGGACTTTGATTTTAGAGCGTTCATTTTTCTTTGTTGGTTTAATGCATAGATTAAGTTTGTGTAATATAAATGATGTTTTTATGTTGTTATGAGTTTATGTCCGAGATTATATCATTTGAGATTGTTGACTCGTTCAACGAGGTATTTTTTATTAAAATCATACTGTATTCGAAATCACACACTTCAATACATATTATTTGAAGGATATCTGTTTGTTTAATGCATATATTGATCATTGATGAACCATATTCAGATGAGGAAATTGAGGATATGAAAAGGTGTTGGACCAAATACTTTGTGGAGATCACTTTAATAGAAAAATAAACTTGGTCAGTTTGCTTATGTTTTGTGAATTTCGACCTTCATGACAAATTGTGGTTGAAGATTATTGTTGGTATAGAGCATTTGAGAATTATTGTTATAAGTTGTTGTTGTTGAAATATTGTGGTAATAGTACTTGTCATGTATAATATTGGTGAATTACGGGAATTTTTTGAATTTATTAATGTTATCATTTATAAAATTCACAACTAAAAAAGTAATGTATAATTAAACAAAATTGTTGTAAAAAGTATGATTTTACATCAGTTTTTCAAAACTATGTAACAGTGGCAACATGTTACATCGGTTATTGAAAAACCAATGTAAGCATACAACTTTTGGATACCGGTTTTGTCAATAATTGATGTCACAGTAAGCATGTCCACAACGGTTTTATCAATAACCGATGTAAGCAAAAGATTTTGGACATCCTTTAATGAAAATCGATATGCACTCTAGTCTTGTTGCATCGGCTTTCATTAAAAATCGATTTTAATAGTCTTCTATTACATTGGTTTTTCAACGAACCGATGTGAAAAAAGTTCCATCAAATCGATTTCCCATTTTCCTAGACCTATTTTTACCCTTGTAGCATCAATTTATTGGAAAGTCCATGTGAACAGTTTCTTTTCACATCGTTTCAAAATCGATATGAAAAGATCAAACTTTCTATACAGCTTGATTCAACATCGTTTTCATAAAGTGTTTTTAACCTACATTATAAAAAAATTGATATATTTCAACGAAAAATCATAAGGTAATATATTCCTATGAAAATTTCAACGGGTATTCCAATGGTACTGTTTCCCTTGGAATGATTACAACGAACATTCCAACGAAAATAGTCCATTGGAATGAGTTTTTCATTTGAATTTTAGATGGAATATGTTGATTTCAACGGCTAGTTTTCGAACGATTTGTTATCATAGGAATTTCTTTTGGAATCTACAGTTTTTTTTCGGAATTTTTATTTCCATCCTCGTTAAAAAATTTGTCACAATCCAATGGAAATTCCAATTAAAAAAACTCACTCCGACGGAATATTTTTTGTTGGAATTTCCGTTAGAGTCCATTGAAAAATTCCAACAAAAATATTAACATTGAAATATCCATTAAAATTGTCGTTAAAATCCCACATAAATATATTACCGCTAGAATTTTCAATGGAAATTTCATCATTTTCTAGTGAAATGTTTGTTTTTAAGGGATGTGAATAAGTTCCTTTTCACGTAGGTCCAAAAGTATCGCTTGATTCTACACCTAAAATTCTTTGGGCCACAATTCATACTGTATTGCCTCGGTTGCATGAAAGTGATTAATAAAATTATGTACGAGAGTTTGTAACCGTTAGATCAACTATCTCCGACGATTATATGATGATCTAACGTTACAAACCTCGACGGAATAATTCTGTAAAATAATATTTTTCCCATAATTTTGCATTTGCTCACCGGTAAAATTCAGCGGGATTTTTTATTTGATACTATCATACTTTTCACTTTTTCAGAGCACATTTTCATACTATTCTGTATATGTATATAATAAACACACAGTTGTTCGTGCAACCCATCAAACTGCAGCAGAGTAACCAAATTTTCACGCTTGCCCATGAAAGACATTCTGTAGAACGTCGCGTGCTTTGCACATGGCTTCCAGCGGTATCACTTTGGACATCGATGTCCCGGGCCCTTCCGCCAAATCGACCAAGTCCTCATCAGTCCTCTGCCACTCAAAGCCCTGAATCAGAGACCCCAAGGTCAAGCCCACGACACGATAGGCCAGTCCCATTCCCGGGCAGGACCTCCTTCCCATGCCAAACGGCATCAGCTTTGTCGGCCCAACCTCTCCTGATTCGAAACGCTCGGGAATGAAGCTGGTTGGGTCATCCCAAATCTTGGGGTCTCTGTGGATGGCCCACGCGTTGACCATCAGGATCGTGCCACGTGGTATGTCGTACCCACCGATGGTACAATCAGTCGATGCTTCATGCGGTATGAGCAATGGCGCTGCCGGGAACAATCTGAAGTTCTCCGAGATAATGTGTTGAAGATAAGGGAGTTTGGACACATCCGACTCGTTGATCAGGCGGTCTTTCCCGACGAGATTGTCGATCTCGATTTTGGCCTTTTGATGTTTTTCCGGGTTGTTAAGTAGGACGGACATGGCCCACTCTATCGTCACTGATGTCGTGTCTGTCCCGGCAAGAAGCATAACCTGCCATATGGCATATATACATTCATGTGAACCCATCATTTAAATCAGATAACTAGTTGTGCCGATTTCAAAGAGTTCATTGAATAAATTGTCGTTGACTAGTACGAGTCGACGTAGAATGATAAGAACCACATTTAATTATTGATCCCTTTTCATTAAGTTAAAACAGAAAAGTTACCAGAATAAGCCCTTTAATGGTGACATCATTGTAGTAGTCAGGCTCCTCCTCCTGTAGGGAAAGCAAGTGGTCGATCATGGTGTTGCCGCCCTTTCTCAGCCGCTGCTCGTCAATCAACCGCTGCAAAACGGCGTCCATTTTCCCGCTCACCCTCGCCATTTGCTTCTCGTACCCCTTGTAATCGACCCACCTCAGCACCGGAAAAAAGTCGGCCGGGTTGGACACGCCACCTAAGCTGAAAACCTCCTCTATCATCTCCCGGAACTCCGCGGCCTCCTCGTCACCCTCCCCAAAGTACCTCTTCCCTGCCACCATCCTCATGATGACATTGAACGTCGCCTCCGAGAGGCTGGACCTGAGCCCGACCCTCGCGAAGCCCCCGGACGAGGCGCGGTGGAGCTTCTGGATTAGAAGCCGGATCTCGTCCAGCCGGACGGACTCGAACGAGTTGAGCCGCGCGGCGGAGAACACCTCGACAGTGGCGAGCCGCCGGAGGTTCCGCCAGTGATCCCCGTAGGAAGCGCCGACGAGGGTGGTGTAGTTGTAGCCGAGGTACTCGCCGGAGATGAGACGGGGGCGGTTGGCTAGCACGATGTCTTTTTCCGTGAAGCACTCATCGACGAGGTCTGGGGAGGAGACGACGACCACGAGGCGGTTGACGAGGCGGAGGGAGAAGATGGGGCCCACTCGCTCGGCCAGGCTCTGGAAAGTTCGGTGGATAGGGGGCTTAAGGAGGTGGAGGTGGCCTAAGATCGGGAGAGCGCGGGCCGGGCTTGGCGGGAGTTTGTGGTTTATGGCCTTCCGTGGGAATGATTTGAGGGAGATTAGGAGGATGAAGAGGAGAGTAAGAGATGGATAGAGCCAGCTGATTTGCATGGTTGGTTCTATGATATCTTACTCTCTTTCTTTATGATTATTATTATTATTATTATTATTATTATTATTATTATTATTATTATTATTATTAATTTTATATTTATTCATTTATGTGTGGTTTTGGGCTTTAGCATTGGATTGGATTTTAAAGAGCAAAGAATAGTCCGAATTCCGCAGTTGAAAAGTCAGTCCGAATTCAACTGTTGAAAAGTCTTGTTGGCTGACACTTTCAAGATCATAATTTCAATGGATCATTAATTTGTGTTTGAAATTTTGGGATGCTTGATGTTTTTTTTTTGTTTTTCCATGGTTTGTTATGGTTAATATTTTAAAAAAATAATGGTATGATTAGTTGTTAGTGAAAATTTTAAGATTATATTAAAATAATATATAAATATATTATTATTTCATAATTTTGAATTAAATATGTGCAAATTAGGATTAGGATACTTTCTTATTTGAATTTGAATTCGAATTTTCACAAATAAAATTACGAATACTAAATATGAACTACGAATCGAATCGAAAAGAGTTGATTTGTTTACAACCCTACGTGGACCTCGTCACGTACAATATATCTGGACATGTGGACTCTACCTTACAGTTTAGGAGGTTATATATGGAGTAAAAGATGTCTTTAACACCTAAAAACAACATGTTTAATAATTATGTGCAATTGCAAAGTTCATAGTGGTCTTTCTAAACATGGCAAAGTGAGGAAATGGCATGCCTAATCCAAACTGTGGATTTTTCATGTCTTTTTTATGATCAAAGTTGGATGGCGTTTTTTAGTTCTCTACTTACACTAGTTAGATGCATATTCAGCCCTATCAGGTTTCTCTACAATTGTACCTCCATATTTAGTATCTGCATCTACATGAGCCTCAAACATACTATCATCTTCATCAAATAAATCACAACCACTCTCAATAAGCTCTTCCAAACACTTAGAGTTTAATCGAAAATATTGATTTCAAACTCACTGTCAGAATCATCCGAATCATCATCACTCGAATCACATCATAACTCATCGAATGGTACATCAACATAAGGCAAGCAAACATAAGGTTTACTAGTTGTCCCTGTACTCATGTCTTTCATATGTTCAACATATCAACCAATCATTCTATTATTATCAGTTCAGTTCACAAGATTTATGGCATGAAACTAATTTGCAAGACAAATAGAAACCAACAATCATTAACATCATTTCTACTATAATGCATACACCTAACATCTTCTACCCCAATTCAGAATCAGAAGTCATACAATTTATTTCAAGCAGTGATATCTCATCAGGGTAACAATAGTCAATGTGACTTACTCTATGTGCTCACTAGTGTAACCATGTTTCACAAATTTTCCTCCATAATACAATTGTAAAAAGTTGTTAACTGTAGGGACCTGAAGGAGTCAAGAATACTACACAAATCAATATCTTGGTCCCAATTATAATATTATTTAAAAAAAAAATTAATAAAAAACAAAACTAAAATTTCGTTTTTGAAAAATTTAGAAACATCAAATCACGAATAGAATAGAGCTTATTGGATACTAAAAACTACTCTTATTTCAATTCAAATTCGAATTTTTACGAATAGGATAACGAATAAAAATACTAAATATTCAATAAACATATGGAATTAAATTTCAGAAGGATTTGGGAACTAAACGAAGTTAAAATGATCATAAGAAAACAACTAATATTCATCTCATCTTATATTTTTCATTAATAAATAATATTTACCTAAAAACCCTTTATTTGATATATTTTTTTTTTATGTCAATTTAGTAATAGATTAAAACCTAAAGGAAGTGATCTGGATTGTGTAAATAAAAGACTAACAAATTCAATAAGCATAGACAGAATACCAGTGTATGTAACGACTATAATTTTCTTTTAATTTGTGAATAAAAACAACAGCTAAAGTTTCAGCTTACTAAAATTTTATCAAACCAAAAGTATTCTCCCATTATGTGCCTTGTACATTTTGTCTTGTTCCCTCTCTGCCTTGCCTAAACATACAATCGACTATATAAATCTGCAAATTAGCTGCAAAAACATTAGTTTTTATCTTGATTTACTTTCCTTAAAAGTGCAAAATTGTTGGTCCAGAATAAATCAAATAAAATTTAAAAAATACTGAAACCGAAATCCAAAAACGGATGCAAGAGAAAGAGCATAACAAAAACAACAACAACAACAACAACATAGCCTTTTAGTCCAAAACAAGTTGAGGCAGGCTAGAGATGAAACCCAAGAGAATCAATGGTAAGAGAAACACAAAAATGACTTCAAGAGAAAGAGCATAAAACTTATGAAATTGGGGCAAAAATTTCAGAAGCTCCCGTCAAAGGTCAGTCTCTGAACCTTTTGTTCCAAGTGCCAATTTCACGATCGATCAACCTCCGTACGCATACGGAGGTTGCATGAAGGAGTGTCGAGCTGAAGGAGTCTCCACTGCATGAAGGAGTCTCGAACTGACTCTTCTGGTATTTTTCATCTAATTAATACACTATTTGAAACAGACTGACAAATAATAAAGGATTTTGGCAAGTAAAGAGTTAGATATTGGTGTTAGTGTAATTGGTTATCAATTAAGATACTCTGTTTGAGAAAAAACATTGAGAGTAAATTGCATTTCAATGACATTATTAGAAACCAAATTAAAAATACAGACACACATACAACACAAACATTTCAATGACACGACAAAGAACATGTGTGAGAAAGACCTTGAGAGGAAACTCACAAAGACAGTACGAGACTAGGCGAAAATGAGTGAAACAAAAAACGCACAAAAAAACACAAGCTCTAGAGCATGGAATTGTAGAGGAATGAAGTCATATGTTTGAGGAAACCCCAACCCCACCGAGAACATTGTGAAGCACATCACGCGCCCTGCACATGGCCTCGAGGGGTTGGAGTTTGGGCATTGATAACCCAGTCCCTTCGGTCAAATCGACCAAGGCCTCGTCAACCCTTTGCCAGTCGAAGCCCTGAATGAGTGAGGCAAGTGTCAAGCCGACGACACGTTGGGCCAACCCCATCCCCGGGCAGGACCTCCTTCCGAGGCCAAAAGGCATGAGCTTGGTGGGCCCAACCTCTGCGGCTTCGAAACGCTCGGGAATGAAGCTGGTGGGGTCATCCCAAATCTTGGGGTCCCTGTGGATGGCCCACGCGTTGGCCATCAAGATGGTGCCACGTGGTATGTGGTAGCCACCAATGGTACAATCAGCGGATGCTTCGTGAGGTACAAGCAATGGCGCTGTTGGGAACAACCGGAAGGTCTCGGAGATAATGTGTTGAAGGTAATGGAGATTGGGGACATCGGATTCGTTGATCAAGCGATCTTTGCCCACGAGGTTGTCGATCTCTATTCTGGCCTTTTGGAGTTTTTCGGGGTTGTTTAGCAGAGCAGACATGGCCCATTCTACGGTCACAGCTGAGGTGTCGGTCCCGGCGAGAAGCATATCCTGAAAGAATTTGTCGTTAATTTGTAGTTGATAATAATTTGAAAGTAATAAGATGGAGGAAATTAAATGAAGCAGTAGTTATTTACCGAAATAATGCCTTTAATGATGGTGTCGTTGTAGTACTGAGGCTCCTTGCCCTGCAGGGAAAGCATGTGGTCGATCATGGTGTTGCCACCATTAACTTTGCTCCTCTGCCGCTGCTCGTCAATCAAGTGCTGCAAAATGGTGTCCATCTTCCTGCTGACCTTGGCCAATTTCTTCTCGAATCCCTTGTAATCGATCCACTTGAGCACGGGGATAAAGTCGGCCGGGTTGGACACGCTGCCGTAGCTGAAAACCTCCTCTATCATCTCCCGGAACTCCGCGGCCTCCTCGTCACCCTCCCCAAAGTACCTCTTTCCGGCCACCATTCTCATGATGTTATTGAAAGTTAGCTCCGAAAGGCAGGGTCTTAGGCCGACCCTCGCGAAACCGGAAGCAGAGGTCCCATAGAGCTTCTGCAGCAGGAGCCTGATCTCGTCGTGCCTGATTGAGTGGAAAGCATTGAGTCGCGTGCCGGAGAAGACCTCGACGGCAGTGAGGCGACGGAGGTTCCGCCAGTGGTCGCCATAGGAGGAGACGGCCAGAGTGGTGTGGTTGTAGCCTATGTATTTGCTAAACACCAGATGTGGGCGGTTGGCTAGGACGACGTCGTTTCTGACGAAGCACTCCTCCACGAGCTCCGGAGAGGAGACCACCACCATGAGGCGGCTGTGGCCAAGGTGGAGGGAGAAGATGGGGCCCACCTTCTCCGCCAGCTTCTGGTGGGTGCGGTGGATGGGGGTCTTGAGGAGGTGGAGATGGCCCAAGATCGGGAGTGACCGCGCGGGACTTGGCGGGAGTTTGCCATGTTTGTTTTTGTGGAATAATAGTAACTTGACGAGGGAGATGGTAAGTAGGGCGAGGAGAGCTGCAGGATACAGCATTGAACTATTCATCGTCACCACTTCAATCTCACTCTCTGATCACTAATTTTGCGTGTCTTATATTGTTTGTGGGTTTTATCAGTTATGTGTGATTATATTGTTTGTTGTGGGTTTCATCTCCCAACCCAACTTGCTTATATATATGTCACCCAACACAGTACCCTATTCTTTTTTTTTTTTTTTAGCCACTTACGGTATCTGGAACTATGCCTCGACTAATCCGTTGGTCGACCCGGGTCGCACACCTGGCAGTGGTGGGTGAGTCTCCCAACAAGGGTTTTCTGCATCCACAATGACTCGAACCTGAGATCTTGCTTAAGCGACATCAAGCTGCTTACAACTTGAGTTAATTCTTGTTGGTACATAACCTTATTCTTTAATTGACTGCTTTGCTTTAGTTTCCCTTTTCTGTTGACTAAAGAGAAGCTTCTGTTTCATTATTGTTATCATTATTAATAATATCTCAATTAATTAAATATAATTTCCTCAACACATGAAAAGATTTGCTTCTCTGTCTTCTAGATATATGATTTCCCGTTTCATAAATTATATAATGTGGCGAGCGGCTCTTCTCCTCACTCTAAAGACAAATTATAAAATGACGCAAGCAATGATCAAATAATTCGTATCTAGTTATGTGTTTTAATCAAGGTTATGAAAACTGAACTGGTGAAGCTACATGTTCGATAGTTCACTGGTAGGCCAGTAGCCGAATTATAAGTTTATATATTTTTATCATTTATTTTTATATTATATTGATATTTATATAAAGAAATAAATAAATAAATAAATAAATAAATAAATAATCATGCCTACTCTAATTATTTTAACTACCATACTTGATTCCAAGTGTAAGTTTATAATCAATATGTATTATGTACTTATTTTACTTTTCTTCATTTTTTGGGAAATGATTTTTTGATGGTTTTGGGCATGATAACATTCTTTAAGAACTCTTTGAATGCTTTGTTACTTTTGCAAGAAAGGCTCGATAAGGCAAAAGGCCCAATAATGTCACCAGACATTAACAAAACAATTAAGCTAACAAAAAAATCAGCTACATGGCCCAAAATATTCAGCTTACAAAATGTACAAAGTGATCGCGCGTCACGACAAATTTAAATTTTGACCGCACGTGTTCGGACCATTTAACTTATGCTCATGTTACTCTAAGGATGCACGACCGCTAGTTTACTACTAATGAAACGAGAACAATAACAATTACGGATTAAAGATTCGAATCTACCAATTAAACTATGGATATTCAACGTAGCTGCCAAACTAAATGAAACACCATAATTCATAAACATTATAAACATATAACATGAATCAACTCATCCACAAAATAAATACGGCGTCTCAAAATAAAGATCAATCAATTCATGGACAAATCAAAATTAGGGTTCAATTACATCCCTCAAACTAGATAAAAATCTAGCCTAGCATACTAATAAAAATAAAGCTAGATAAAAGATAAATGAGAGAAAATAAAAATATCTCCTTTGAGTGCAAGTGCGGCTTCCCTCTGCGTTGGATGCTCTCTATTCTCGGTGTGTGGTGTCCTATCTGTCTCGTGTGTGCATCTTTTTCCTTTCTTTTTTTTCTTGCAAATATTTCTTTCAGCCTTCAAATAAAATAGGGGAAAATGCTACAATCCTGTTACGGAATCATTATGTCGGAGTTTGTAATCGTTAGATTAACTATCCCCGACAGTTACGTGATGATCTAACGATTACGAACTCTGACGGAATGATTCCGTAACGGGACTGTAACGTCTCAAAAAGTTCACAAAAAAATAATAATTCCTTCCCTAAGTCCTCACTACAACAATTCCGTATGTTAAGCACGGCTCAAGAGGAAAAATAATAATAATAAAATAATCTCCAAGACTTCAAAAGGCTTATATATGTAGCGCAGCGATAAACGAAAAGGGGAAAAGAGAACAAGATGAGAAAACTTAATCTGATAAAATTATTTCGTAAAAGTCTGATGGTCTTCAATAGGAAGAGACAATATATATAATCCTAACAAAGCTAAAATCCTAACTTACCAAATAAATAAATTCCATATAATATGAATTATTCAACTCCTAATTAGGAAAAAAGAAATAAAACATAATAATATAATAGATAGCAAATAAATAACTAAACTAAAGATGGTAAACGATCAAACTTATCCATAAATGTCATCGTCATCTCTGTCTCCATCACTATTCAAAGTAATTTCCTCCTGTGCAAGTAATGTTGGTGCCTTTTTCTATTATTTTTTCCTTTCCGTAAGTGCATGGACAAAATGTCTAATATTATGTAAGTCCATTTGTCGCGACTCCTGTGTTAATTGGACCTTAATTCTTTTTTTTTTTTTATATATATACTAGTTTGATTCCGGCTGTGCACAGCACAGCCGGGCCCAAATTGATAATTTTTAATTTGATAATTATTTTTGTAAAAACTTTTCTAAATAAAGTTTTCTAATAAATTACTATAAACAAATAGGAACTAAAAAGTGTACCGAATAAGTAAAATAAAAAACTAAAATTCATCGCGTGCTACCATAACAACTTATAAATGAAAATCAAACTACATGATGGTTCAAAAATAAGTGGCAGAGAGTTGAGTCTAAAGAAACTCACAAAAGTTGTTCAAGTATAAGAAAATCATACACATTTTGTTTGACAAAACAGACAAACTTCAATGCTAGATAGATATCATTAATAATTAATTTTCAACTTAAAAACTAATCATTTTTTTAGGAATGTGTAAGTAAACTTCGAAGTACTTGTTTGGAGCCATCATCTACCTGATAAGTTAAGCAAAAGATATATATATCTCAAGTAAAGTGATATAAAGCAATGTATGATAAAATCATTAGCTAATCTAAATGATGAATTATTGATCATCTCATGATTAAGGTACCCATTAAATAATGAACCTAATTAAACACAAGCAGCACAGTTTGAAAATTCAATTGAAAATCTACAAAAAGAGCCTTCACTCTTCGAGCAAAACATGCAAAGTTGGATACAAATTAAGGAATGAAAGACAATAAAATTTTATAAGTGCAAGGGACTGAAAGTAAACTTGCATAATATTCAGGGAGGCGATGATTTTATTTATTTTTTAATCCAAATACTCTACGTCTCTCCCACATACGAACCAAGGGTCGTATATACATATGTGCACAGGTAGCCATAAAACATGTCGCTAGCTGCAACCAAATAAGACATCATAACAAGTAACAACAACAAACGCCACAAATAAAATTGGTGATGATTACAGGTGATTGAATAAGAGTTCTTAAAAAACACCGAATAGAAAACAAAGAATTCAACTAACATAAATAATTCAAAAGAGGACTCACGATGAAAAGATGTCAACATGAAGAAGAGCCATGATGTCAGTTGCAAAATGAGTCGTTGGATGAGCAACAATAGGCACGCATCAACGTTTTATATAAATCATAAAGATAGATAGCAAAAATATTTGCACAGAGAACATAAAAAAAAAAAGCCAGAAAAATTCTGCTTGAACCTATAACATAGCAACAGACCACACAAAATAAAAGTGAAACATAGATGATACGAGAAGAAAATAAAACCACTAAAAAATCAAGCATGTACACCCAAAATAGGTCCATGAACTTTTTTGGAGTATTTAATATAGCAGAGCAAAGGTGAATAGTTGAAACTAATGTTCATTTGATAAAGCATCTACTTGCTCTTTCATTGGCACCTAGTTGAAGTGAGAAAATAAATAAAGCAAGGTTAACGTAACTACTTATTCAATCAAAGGGTTTAAAAGTCCCAAAATAATTGTTTATATATTAATGCTCAAATATATGTCATTATCATAACAGATCTGTAGATACATATAACAACACAAGTTCAAGAATAATATAGCTCAATAATTTGCTTCTATGTTGTTGCATCCCTCTTATGGAAGGTAATTGCATATATTTCAGAAAGATATTAATCTATCACAAATTATAAACCAAAAAAATGTTAACAATGTTATATAGGAAAATTACTTTGGCAAATTTGAAAGAGAGTGTAGAGCAACTCGGTGATCAATGGAATACCTAGGAAAGAAAAGTAAGGTGCTTAGTAAAACACACAATATATTACCTGGAGAAGAACTACAATCAACCGAAGACGAAGTCACTGGTGAGGCACAATCTAACCCATTTACGGCTTTGGGACTCTTATCAGGCACATCAACAGAAGCAAACTGCATAGCTTCGGTAGTGCTGACACTGACACTCTTAGCCAGGAAATCTTTCGAAACACCATCTTCAGGACTATCAACTTTCTTTTTCTCATACTTTGCAAGATCCTCACCCCAGCCAAGGTGAGGCTTTTCCTTGAGCCAACGTCGTTGGATGGAGACTTCTTATACTTTTTTCTTCTCATACGTTCTTCTTCTCTACACATTTCTGATTGCACACGTCGTCGTTAGATTTCCCTGAACCACCAGACACCAGACGATGCAACAACGATGCAACAGGTGGTTCCCAGGAGGGAGATCCCAATCCTTTTGGCTAGAGGATCCTGTATTTTCCCTACTATTCCTAAAATACCTCCTTCCACCACAGGACCTAAAAGGTCGAAAATTGTCATCTTCTAGGTTGTTGTCACCGTACCTTGACCCAAAAGGCGAAATCCCATGACAAGCCTCATCAGGATGCATTCTCCAACCACCTTGCTTACCATGACCTTTAGCGAAAAAACTATACATACCCAAAAATATGGGCAGAAAAACAACATAAGATAAACTGAATATTCCATGAGGACAATGATTTTCCAAATTTACATCTTTTAAAACCCAACGAAAAGTTGCCGATGAGAAAGTAAATAATATTTAGAAAGAATATTGAGATAATATCTATCATCAGTTGCATGAATTGTGACATCAATAAGCAATATATTCTGGTAGGGTCTAACAAAAAAGTGCGAGAATAAAAAAGGATATACTTACTTCAGAGGATAGAGAAACTACTTCATT